GTATGTATATTCACACCTGTGCAATAAGCAAACAAAAGTTAAATTTTTATTTGTAGGTCTTTGTTTCAACACTCCTTGGTATAAATAAATAATATAATTTATAAAAATCCCTCTGGTCTATGGTGCGTGCCACAACAAATATATCAGCCGGTTTACAGCAGGTGACGTTTGCGCCACATTTCTTCTACGGAAAAGAAAGGATGCCACCTTATTCATTGAAATACTTAAAAATTAGCAGAAAATCAAACGAATTTAGAAAATAAAAAATTGACGAGTAGAAACATCTAAAAGCGAACAATTTAATAAAAGAAATTTAAGGCAAGCTCTTAATCGTTGCTCAGTTATAAACCAAGTTTTTAAAAACTATTTTAAATAACGAATCAAATCACGAATAAGAAATATGTTCACGAACAATTAATTCGTAAATGAACGAATATTTAATTCGCGAATGACTTAATTTTTTTTTTTAATTTTTTAAATAACAGTATATTCGAATAATGCCTAGCTCTGAGTCCAGATATATACTGATTGTTTAATTTGCACCGCTTCCATAACTTTAGCAACGATGATCGCGATTTGTTGATATTTAAATTTTTGCCAAATTTAGCCGTTGAATATATGTTTTACTTATATTGGATTAACCGTTTATGAATAAAAGTATTTACCGTCAAGTCCAAAAATTATGATAATTACTGGTACAAGCTTTTCACCTAATGTTTTATTATTTTTTTAAACCTCGAACACATTTACAGAAATGCGAAAGCGTCAAATAGCCTGAAACTCTTTATTCAGAAACTCCTCACCACGCTCCTTGTCAATGACATCATATTTTGCTTTACTAAAATTTCCTTAACACAACCGCTATTTTTTATTAACAACTAAAAATTATGGGTTCAACATTCGCCCACCCTATCGAATTTCAACGTGAAACGCTTCAACACAAGCATCTGCTATGCGTTTGTGTATTTCATTAACTTCAGCTTGCGTTAAAGTGCGCTCCATGTGTCTATAAACAATACGGAAGCATAGGCTGGATTTGCCAGTTTTCGGACTCTTAAAACGGTCTACCAAGCTGATCTAGAAAAAACCATATTGAACATTAGTAAAGCACGTTAAATTGTCAATATAATTCCAGGACTCACTTGTTCGACCACATCACCAGCGACTGAACGCACAAGATCATAGAAATCATTGCTTGCAAAACCAGCATCTACCTCCACACCGGATGGCAGCCAGAATGAGAGGTCATTCTTGCACTGAGGGTATACGGATACAGGTTTATACTTCGTCAACTTGTAGAGATTTTCTTCATTGAATTGCTTAAGAAAGCCGCTATCGTTCGACCAAAACAATCTTATGTCGGGTATATCGAAAAGCACCATTGCTAGCCGTTCCAAACCCAAACCGAAAGCATAGCCTATATTGTTATGGGCTCCTGATCTGTGAAGTATTTCATGCCGCACAATGCCGCAGCCAAGTACTTCCAGCCATTTACCGTTATAAAGTATTTCTAGTTCCCAAGATGGTTGTGTAAAAGGAAAATATGTATCTACCCAACGATATTCCAGTTGCGTGCCGAATAAATCCCGCGCAAGTCCCAACAGTACGTCCTTCATTTCATGTTCCATTAACTTGACAGCTTCTAGTGTGTGGCAGGCTTGCTTTGCTTGATCCAAACACTTTGAAGATGTTTGCGGTGCTGCATAGTTTTTAGTGTTCAGCTGCCAATCAGCTTCGAAAATTTCCAAATCTTGATTACGTCCAAAGAGTATGTCTTTCGTAACTAGACGCACGGCATCCAATTGGTGGAAGACTGGATAGTGTGTGCTGTCGATTTCATCACGGCGATACACCTCACCCGTCACTAAAAAGTTATCCAATCCACACGCAATCAAATCCGATTGATGTGCTGTGGTATGAGCGCGTAGCAACTGGTGTTGATTTATATAATAACAGTCGGATTTGGCACGACTGACGTGATCAGTAGGAAATAGTAGATTATCGAAATTTTGTTCCACTGTAACAATAGGACTCAATTGATCATACACTGAAAATAAAGGATTGCCGCGCGAGTTTCTAAAAGTGCTATAGAAATAGTTAACAATCCTTTGTCGAAGAATCGAGAGTGGATGATTGCGCTGCAGATGTTTGTTGGCACCCAAGTAAGACAATATTTTTGGCGTCACATTCGTCCAAGAGTCAGTGGGATAAGATTTGCCGTTTATTTCTAACATACCCTTGGGATCAGCAGCTCCAACAGTTATAGCCATATGCCGCTTGTTGGTACGCGGTGGCCGGTATAAGTTCGCTTTGCAACCTACTTGAATAGAGTTGGAGAAGCCTACAGCTGCTCCATTTACTTGACGCCATTGGCGTAGTATTAACATTGCGAATTAATTAAATATTGAATTTTTCGATAGAAATCTCACTAGAGCAAATGTTGAATTTACAGCGTTTTTTGTTTTGTTCTTATTTTTCTTGTTATGTCATCTTTGACAAATTCGATCAGCTGTTGCTGTTAATTCAGCTGTCTACTGTCAAGTGCTGGCAAGAGTAGTTTCGGAGAAAAAACGGAAGTAAGTTGGAAAACGGAACTGCGTTTAGTTTTTCGCTAACGGCTAATTTTTTATAAGTACATACATACATACATATGTATTTAAAGTGAATTAATTGTTCGAATGCAATTTTTTATTTTATATGTATGTTTGTACCAAGGTACATTGAACAGGTAGTATCAGTAGAGCAGCTGATTTGATTTATTTTCAAATTATTTGGTCTCGAAAATGTCAAATATTTTTAATTTTTTCTCACAAAAATTCTGAATTGTTAAAATCCATTTGCATGTGAAAACTTTTCCCATACAAAACAAGCGATTGAGTAGCAGCTTTTGGAACGTTCGCCCAACTCGGCAGCACGACCGCTGATTACTGGGCCTTGCAAAGGATGGATCAATGCTTCGAGAAGCAAACAAATTTACTAGGAAAGAAAGTTGCATCAATTTTTATTTTTTCCAATTTCAATTTTTTATTTTTTATAATTTTTTGTATTTCACATGGCACGCTTTTATTTAGAAGAAAAAATTCAGAACAGATTTTGACACTTTCGATACCAGAAGCAACAACAAAATACACGCAAATGTTGTTTTTGCTCTACTGATACTACCTGTTTAATGTGCCTTGGTTTGTACATACAGCACGTTTACTAATACTATTAAGAATTATTTAAAAATTTAATTTTGTGTGAAATCTCTTTGGTTGTTGAGAGTTTTTTTTGTTAGCGGTGTTGCTCATTTCCTATTTACTATGGATTTTTTCCGCAGTCAACGAAAAAAAATCTGAAACGAAATTTTAAGCTAATTCAAACATGCACAATATTCTACTAAAACTGAATCGAAAACTGATGGGCATTTTTTTTTTTACTTTCGTGGAATTATTATAAATCTAAGCTATAAGGGTAGTTAACAGTAACAATGCTAATTGAAATGAATGTTGTAGGATTGTGTTCCTTTTCCAACATTTATTAATTTTTTACGTTTAGAAACTTTGCTAAGGAAGTGAGTGCTTATTAGCTAATGGATCATTCCAAGTAAAAGTTGTAACCATCGGCGTAGCCAGAATGAAATATAGGGGGGGGGGAGTTGCTCGAACCTATTAAGCTGGCATTTCAGGGTACTATTTTATATATACATATATATAAGGAAAATTTGAAAGTTGGGGGGGGGGGGGGGGGGGGATGGGCCCCCCCCCCTGCCCCTACCTGGCTACGCCCATGGTTGTAACCTCTTTTTAAATTACTACATTTCGTTAATCTGTTGAAAAATATTAAAAAAATGAAAAGAAGATGTAATTTTTGTGTATGGAAACCTTTACTTCATACATAATTACCAGTCATAAGGACATATCTCACCAGTCACAAATGAAAATATTTTTTAATATTTCTATGAAGATTATATAAGCCGAATTTTGACTGAAAACGAAACCGTGTATGTAGTTCATATTTTCCAACACCAAAACATTTTTCGTAAAAATTCAGCATTTTGGCTAAAATTCATTTTTGAGTGCACAAAAGTAAAATGGAGTTTTTTAGTGTTCCACCATTCACATTCATTCAAATGATAGTTACATAAAAATCACAAAGCGTTCGATATTTTTGTTAAAGCAATTTTATACATTAGTTGTTCTATGTCAAAAAATATTTTTCGCTGTTGTATTAGTTCCGACGGCATACATAATTATAATTAACAATTGATCACATTCGGGAGTGAAATTTCCCACCAGTCAGAGTGGAATGGCCCTAATCTTAATACAGATTATACATTTATAGGAAGGTTCAGCTAAAACTATTTCTCTCAACACAAGATTTGGTAATTGTAAAAAAAACATGCACCTTTAACCAAATCATGTGTTGAGAAAAACATATTTAGTTGACGTAACTCAACTCTTTTTTTAGTGTAATAGGGATAATGGAAAATAACTCTTCAATTTCAACAGTAGGTGCATAAATGACGAAATACATGCAAAGCAGCAACACAAACTCTGCTATTTATCCCAGTTCAACATGGTCGGTTAAAAAATATGCTACGGGTAGTGGTGGTAAGTGAAAAAACTGTTCTATTGTGTATTGTTAATGGAAAGTATAGAGGCAAATTTTTGTTTTCGTATATACATGATTTATGTTTTAAATAAATATATATATTACGCAAATACCTTGCATATTTTAACCAGTCAAATGTTTCTTGCCAGATACCAACAGGGTTGCTTAAGTAGCTAAAAGGAAATTTTACCCGAGTTAAGCGTTCTTTATCCCCTCGTTTACAAAAAAAAAAAATGCAGCTAGTGTTACAAAACTGAATGCATGACATAAAAAATCCATTTGAATCGTTTCTTAAAACAGAGCTTCCTAAAGTGGGTTGGGCGGAAACCAAGGGTTCCGTAGAAAAGTCATCAGGGTTCCGCGAAATTAATTTTGATATGAACACGGCGGTCGGTTTGAGTTGCACACAGAAAGAAAAGTTCTATAAACAGTTTGACCGAGACGTAGTATACCTGTGTACTCGTAGTTGGTGTGATTGCCATACCTACTGCATAAGAGCGTTGAGCGTGCGCTTGACAGCTTATTTTTTTTTCTAACCGGTATATGTTGTTGGCCGTTCTAGCTAAAGGGTTATATTTATATAACTTTCTACAAGGAACGCTATGAATTGCCAAATGAAATGTGAAATATAAAAAATGGACACTAGGTAAATCACCTGAAATCGTTGTCAGATTATTTTTCGGATGGTAGTAGTAATATTGGTTTGGTACAAAACCCATTTACGAATCATTCATAGATCTTCAGAGTACTTCGACATTGAAACATATATTTGAATCTGGGTTTCTGAAAGAGTTTTGGGTTAGTTAAAAAGGCCATCTTAACTTTGCTTCCTTCTGTCTCACAACGTACTCGGTCAACAAATTCAGGTCGAAAGTAGATGCTACCCCAGAAATGCGCATACAGCTTTTAGACACAATATCGAACTACTATTTTATACAATAATTATTTCATTCTTCACATTAAAATTTAAAGTATGTATACTATTTCTAGTAAAAGTTTTTATTCATATTTAAAATGCACTGCCTTTGATTTTTAATAATTTGATGTGGGGTTCCATAAAATGAAAGGTGTTTAGTATGGGTTCCATCATCTTAAACGTTTAAGAACGCCTGTCTTAGTACATACACCTTTGAGAATTCCGATGTCTTAAAAAATTGCCTAAAAAATAAAATTACTTAAATAAATAACTCGATAGTACGGCACCGTATCCCCGAAATTTTTTTTTTTGTTTTACTTGCCAATTGAAAGCTGACAAACAAAAGACTTAAGCAACAAACTTATGATAAAATTTGAAGGGCAAGGTTCGGAAAATCTTTTATGACCAAACCGCATGAATTATTCTCGAATGAGAACGACAAATGAAATGAAGGGGGATAGATCGCGGCTTGGCGCAAACTGTAATACCGCGTATTTGATGCACGCCAAATTTTATATGAGCATGAATAAACTGGTTTTTAACAAAACTCCTGCACCTTTTTTAACTGTGTTTGACTCACAATATATAGACCAAAATTATCATACTAACTACATATAAAAGTTTTTTTTTTAAATATACATACGCGCTATTGCAGTGTTTTTTGCCATATTGAAAACAAAATGATATCCAGATAAGAGAACTTATTTACCCAAATTAAGTTAAATTAATATTAAAAAATTTGTTAAATTAAGTGAAAGTAGTATTAAAACTAATTAAAAAAGTTTTAGGTTTATTCCTCATGAGGTAAATTATCGTAAAAGCTTCAAAAATCAAGTGGTATAAAATTCTCAAGCTATTTTAAATGTTGAGATTTATTTTTCGTTATTTTTAAACGTGATTTGAAAAGTACGGACGCTGTTTATTTTTCCAAAATAATTTTTTTGGGTCGTTAGATAGTAAGCTGCAATTATTTTTTAATTCCAATTCGTACAGAATTGCACCGTTTGGCAAGTATTTTAATACCTACATTATACCCAGATCCTCTACTTGCCATATAGACTCGTATATATATATTATTTTAGTCGCTATAATTAAATGAAAAAGGCTTGAGTTACCAACTTTGCAATATGGGAATGGCTTTGATCGTGATTCTTTTGTTGCAACAGCGTACTGATGTGGCCTGTGTTTTAAAATTTTTCTTAATTACTGAACAAACAGGAATTTTAGAGATTTTACTTATCTGAAGCCGCACCGACTTAGGATTGAGTTTTAGCTCTGTACAACTCAGTGTAAAATATAAGCGGGTTTTGTTGGTCAAATTTCAGGCTTTAGCATATTAAATTTAGACATTTTGGAATATACCCGGTATTCCATTTTGCATATACGCCAAGCGACGATAAGTATGATATAATTTTTAACCGACTTCCAAAAAAGGAGGAGTTTATCAGTTCGTCGGAATATTTTTTTTTTTTTTTTATGTATGTTACCGCATAACTTTGGACCACGTCAACCGATTTCCCAGAGGTGGTTCCATACTAATCTGGTTCAGATCCGATCATTGGCTCATATATACATATATGTATATATATATATACATATGTATTTTTTTCAAGTCGTTTTTTTTGCTAAAAATTACTTGTTTTTTATTAGAAGGAAATTGTAACTGAGAAAGCACATCCACATGATTCAATAATAGAAAGGTATTCGTTTGCGTAATCTCTCAGAACAAGTCTATCATAACGACCGTTTAGCTAAAAAAAAAAATGCGGATTGATAGAATTTTTTTCGTTGATTTCAACCATACCAAATTTACAATAAACAAGACATAAGTTCCAAAATAAATCATCTTAAAACCCAGTCGGAAAAATCAACTAACACCATGATGTAAGAGCTTTATTTGCTTTGTTTATTTATATTTTTATTATCACTAAATTCTTGAAATCCAAAAGCAGATCATGATAAAATTTGAATGTATATCGAATAAAAGGTAATAACTTGTTC